CGTTCAGCAGTTGAAGCTTCAGAAGGAGTCTCTAACGTTGAGCGGTCATTTTCTGATTGGCTGCTGTTTGCTTTGAAATGTTCTCCGATTGTGCTTCCGAACCATGCAGCTGAAGTTGCAGAACCTGTTTGTACCAAGCAATGACTGCTTGACTGCGGAAGAATATTGGCTTGAAAAGAACTTGGTTTGCTAAACATAGAGAAGTTTTCTCCCATAGAAGGAGAAGTATATGAGAAACTACTTGTCATAGTTGCAGCAACTGTTTGATTATCTGAAGTACCTTTTGTTTCAGAGCCTGTGAGGAAACTACTTTTGTCATCTTTCGCATGAGAAGTAGTGAAGAACGTAGACTGCTCTTCCTTTTCATCGTTATCCTGTCCACTCTCACCTTGAGATTCCAAACGATTTTGAATGAAATTATCATTTTTGGAATGTCCGTCGTTCGTTCTGGTCCATGTACTATTTCTATCATCCTTCGTATCAGAATCTTGAACTTGTTCCTTTCTTGCTTCAATTGTAGCATGAGCAGATGATGCTTCATTGATGACGGACACAGAATTCTTCTGAAATGCGTTATTATCGGTGAGATTCTCCGACTGTTCAATGATGTTGTTATCGTTCGGTCTTGCGTGGTCGACACTATCAAAACTCGTCAGTAACGAACTTCGCGAATGTTCTTCTGTTTTCTTATTTTCTCGAAAGTCCAAATTGTTATCTTTTTCTTTCAACTCTTCTCGTGTCTTCCAATCCAAATTATTATCGTTTGCCTTAGCTGAAGGGGAAGAAACCATATTTTCTATACTCTTATCGCTCATCAAACTCTTTGTTATACTTGAGATTACTGGAAAGTGCTGTGAATAACTCTGCTGTGGAGTTTGACTTTCGAACTGCTCTTCGTTACTTTTCTTCGTATATGTGCGAATTGTATTTGAGGGTTCTTCTGTTGAATCGGCTTTGTCTTCAACTTCTCTCGCTACCTCCTTTCTGGAAGTTGTGTCGATATGCTTTGCGAATAGATCCTTGGCCAAATTGACACTAAACTCCTTATTGTATCCTTGGTCTTCTAATGTGTGCTCCGAATGGTTGTCCGGTCTGGGTTCTTTAACGTTCTCATTAGAATGTCTCCCACTCTCATGATGGGCATGGATACTTCCAGTTTCTAAACAACTATCATTCCAATCCTGTGAAAGCTTGCTTTCTGTCTGTGTTCGATTCTGCTCTTCTGTCCTATGTCTCTTCCTCAAGGAATCTAAAGTGACTGGCGGTGGCTTTTTTCTCTCTGCACTGTTACCCGCAATTCTTTCCAAGGTTTCCAGAATTTTCCTAGCAGTATCACTTGCTGAAGCTTTAGATGGTGTAGGTGATATATTCTTCCGAAAATCATAGATGCGTTCCTTCCCTATGTCCCAATTCCTTTTTAAACCACTTATATCTGCTGTTTTGGTCCAATCACTTTTGCCTGAAAACAATGGCTGCGACTGTAGTGTATCCTGCTTTCTGAAGTATCTATTTTCTGAAAGAGTCCCTTTTCGCGACACAAATGAACTTGACTGCGAATTATTTCTGTTTGTTGAAACTATCGGAGTAGTAAACGCACTACCTGATATAGATATCCCTTGTTCTGACCCTTCTGGCTTCGATTCTGACTTTTTCTTGTCAATCTCTGTGGCACTAGAACCCATGAAAGTTCTTACAACATCTACTGGAGTAAGAGGATTCCCAGTTAACTCCGTTTGCCTTGAAACAGTCGGACGAACAGGAACTGGAGTTAACTTCGGAGTGCTTTTCGGAGAGTGTTCGTCCACTTTTTCAAAAGGTAGCACGTCCATGGAGTAAACTCGTTGACGCTTCAAACTTGGCTGACGAATGGGTTGAGATGAAAATGAATCAACATCTTCCCCTATCGAGACTTCTACTATCTTCATAGTGCTCAATGGCTGGTTGCGTTTTCGTCGCTTTGGATCTGAGGGTGGAGTTCTCGTACGCTTTCTCACACGGGAAGAGCCAACTGCACCACCAAATGGGTATTCGGAAATGGCAAGTTGAGATGAAGGTTTCTGAACTGCGTTTTTCAATATATTCTGATATAATTCATACTCTTCGACACTTATAGTTCTCTGTTGACTTTGAAGATGTTGTAAAACTGCTCGAGCGAGAGCAATTGTTTCCATAGAATACAGAGAGTGTTCTGCAGTCTTTCCTGATATCTCTGCTTTCATACCTTCTCTGTCTCGACCTCTCTTTAACTTTGAAGAAATACTTGCTTCTCTTGGTCCCTTAACTTCCCTATTCTTCTGTTCTGTGTTCTCTGGTAAATCAGGCTTTTCCTTGCGACTCACACTTGCTTCTGAAGCTGTTTCTTGAGACTTTACATAATGACGAAGCTTTCCCATAAGCTGAGTTTTTTTTCCAGTTGCCTTGATGCCCAACCTTTTACAAAGAGAGCGAAGTTCTTGGTAAGATATAGTCTCTGAAAAGTCTTCACTCAAAGCTTGGGACAATTGGTCGTCGTGAACTCGAGCTGCTTCTTGAATACTTGAATTTGTTTTTCTTGCATTTTTTGCTTTAACTATTACTGGTTTTTGAGAAGTTTCCTGAGGCCGCTTCCCAGAAGACTCTCTGGTGTACTTTCTTCGACCCTTGGCTTCAGATTTTGCACTATTCAATAAATAGTTTCCTTCTCTAGTCGTCTCTGTATGTTCACTGTTTGCTGGTGTTTGCATTCCACGAGACCGAGTTATGATCTGACCTCTTTCGCTTTCTTCAAGGCTGGACCCACTCAAAGCTTTGTGATAGTCATAACTTCCTACCCCTCTGGTGGATGTTTGTACTGACAGCTGTTTAGGCTCTGTTTGCGATGGGTTTTCTTCCTCCCAGTGCTCGTTCTTGGTGTGGTCGCTCGTCTGCGACTCCAACTTGTTACTTTGCTCCCATTCCGAAGTTTGCAACCACTCGTCTTCAAATAAGTTCCTCCTAGGAGTATTCTCTTCCCCGCTCTCTCTAGAGGAATCACAGTGCTCCCCTTGAACGGACCTTTGTGTACTTTCTCGAACATTCACTCTCTTCACTAACGAGGACAGGTAAATACGAAACTTCCGAAACAAGCTAGAACGCCCTTTAGGAGAGGAGTCTGAAGCCACCATGTCTTCACTCGACTTGCTCTTCTCTCTTTCTAGCCTTTCTAAAGAAGAATTTTCTGCCGCGCTCGATTCCGAAGAAAAACTCTCTGTTTCACCGTTATGAGAAGAACCCGCCATTTCCGTACTTTCTGAAACATTCTTAGTACCTGTTCTCAATGTTCTTCTACGAAGTTCCATGCGTAGTTTTCATAGAACAATTGTGTTTGGAACGAGAACGTTCGAAACGACGGATCGTCGTCTTTTACAAATCCCACAAGAGAGAATAAAGATGAACATGATATACTGTCATTTCTTGGGGGTTATTATCCTTGACGTCTGGAAAATAATAACAAGAACTGTTTTCAAGAAAGAGAATTTGTTTATATTGGTAAATATTCATACGAAGGTTGTTACACAACCCACAATGGTGAGATATCGTTGAAGCAATCTAACTGCTTTTTCAAAAACAATCGAATGAGCTGATGAACTTGCTCCATACATTCTTCCGTAATGAAATGGGCACCGGACAACATGATATAGTTTCCATTCAACTCACGAGCAAAGTTTCGACAACCATTTACAGAAACCAGTTGATCATATTTCCCAGAAATACATAAAATGGGAAATGAAGCGCGACGAATTTTAGTCATTTCTTCACGACAAAGACGATGAAAGAGAATCGCATGTAACTGTCCCCAAATGCTCATGTAACGAGGAAGAGAATACTTTTCTCTTTCTTGTTGTTGCTTTATAAAACGCCATCTTGGTATAAGAGCACTGTTATCTTTCGTCAACTCAAGTAAATAATATTCCGAATATTTGAAATAGATTTCAAAAAATATTCTTACATGGTTATTCCTTTCATTACAACTTCGATGGCGACATAATGGACAAACTCTTAAGAATACATAGTGAGAAATAACACGCATCACAACTTTTAACGTTCTCCAACCAGGCAATAGAATATGAATACCGCATTTTGGAGTGGAAAGTAAAGTTAACGATAAGACTCTTTCTGGGTATACGCTGGCCGCTTTGGAGACTATCATTCCACCCAAGGAGAAGCCGATGAGATGGACTTGTCCTCTAGAAAAGTTGTTCACAATATGCCAAACATCGTTAGCCATAGTATCCTAAATAAACAAAGATAAAAAACGAACTGGGGTATAGCAAAGTTCTGAATACCGTTGAATAGCCACCTTGGTTGGACCATAAACGATAACTTGAGCAACGACCTGAACCAAAACCTCCTGAATCCATGAAAAAAGTATCAAATTGGAATCAAAAGCTGCATACTGTTCTCTAAACAAAGAAAACTGAACATTTCACTATTGGCAATATTCTGTATAAGACAGTTCCACATATCCATTCCACAAGAGAAACCAGGAACGAGAACAACTAACTCTCCACCTTTTCCATATCGACGATACTCCGTCTCAGTTCCATCACTCTGAAGGTAACTTCCTGATTCATATTGTACTCTAGATAACTGCATCTACTTTAAATATCTAATTTCAAAAAAAAAGCTTAATAAGACGGTTTGTTGCTTTACCCAACTAAAGCTGAACAAAAAAAGTATCAAAACTCTACAAAATTTCTGTCAACAGTGTTTCATAGGAAAATCCGAGTCTTGAATATAAAAAAAAGGAAATTCCTACACACAAATGTATTTTATCAAGAGCATTTCGACAAACTTCAAATCTTCAAAGCAAAAAACCATTTATTAGATAGGAACTTGACAAAAAGCTCTCTTCATCTGTTCGTTTATGAAGAATCATAAAAGCCAACGGACCTCAAGCACACGATGGTTTCTATTTCCAAAACTTGCCAGATAAAACGGCTCCAGTTCTTGCATCATGAGGCTTACAAATAGGATGGGCATTCAACCACTTGCAAAAAGTATCCATCCTTCTACCTCGAACACTGTCAACCGAAAAGTCTAAGGCAGATACTCTACCAAAACGTTCCATCACAATAACCCGATCCTTTTCAATCAGGTCTAGTTTTTGAATGGGATTCATATACTTTGTCAACAGCCGTTCTTCGTCTACTTTACTAAATTCCAACGGATTGTTGATCAACTTAACTGAACCATCCTCCCATCCAAGTAAAAATTTATAGCTATCACTTGCTATGCTAGTAATGGAAAGATAGCTTGGCGATAATATTTCAATGCCATTCCAAGGACCACATTCTGGCCAATACAATAAAGAACCGTCACTATTTCCTGTTACAATTGAGCCATTGGATAAAACTTGCATACAAGTGATGCGTCTCTTATATTTCAGAGAGAGAGCGGAAATGGGTTCAGACAATACTGCAGTTATTCCTCCAACTCGAATATCCCAAATATGAATAGCCTTGTCACTTGCGATGTAAAATACTTCAGGCTTACTTCTATCTCTATCCACATGAACAATAGTTTGAGGGAGTTTAACATCACCACCAACAATGTGCCTTGGAGAGTCCAAACGATCCAGAGACCAAAGCTTGCCAAAGTTATCCCGACCAAACGAAGCCATAAGGCGCGTATTCTCAACTAGTCTCAAACATATAATAGAACCTATATGGGCTCTAGTCATACCGACACACTTTCCAACTGTCGTATCAAAAACGTTGATTCTTCCTTCCACTGTTCCACTAGCAACAACTTGGCTGCTTGTCTAAAACAAGAAGTTGTTGTCTTCCCTTGTCAACAAAGCAGTTTTACATACCTCAATACAAGATACAGCTCGATGGGTTTTCTTATTCAGCTTGCGAACACTTTTCCCTTCCTTTCCTTTCCAACTAAGGATGGCGCCATCTTGAAACCCGAGGAAAAGAGAGTTGTTCGCACTATTCCAAGCTGTGCAAGTACAAAGTGACCGAAATTGAATATCAGATATCTCTTGAAACTGTTTTCCGCATTGAATAAAACTCTTTACGCTATGTCCAGAAGCGACTATAAAGGATCTTTTAGAGTGAAAGACGCCTAGTGTAGCTTCACTATCCAATTTCAAAGGAATAACAGAAGGACATATATCTATCCACAAACTTGTAAACTCCTCACAAGACTGAAAGAGGAGTTTTGAGTTGCCAACGCAAGTGTCTTTTTGAACAAACGGGTATTTTGCCACAAGTAGGTTCTTCCATATGAGGGAATAGCTATTTAGTCGACTTCGAAGACTACGACAAGTTGCCGCCAAAGCTAAAATATCTCTGAACACAAGTTGTACGCATATTTCAACGAGACAGTCATCTGATAAGCTTTCCAAGGTCGTCGTCAACGTGTTGTTTGATTCACAATGGCCAACTTGAAATCCCAATCCGTTCTTTATTTCTCATTTTGAGGAAAGTGTGAATCCTCCTCTTGTGGACATTCGAGCAATCGAAGGATATATACTAATAACGGAACTCCAAGTATCAAACCAGAAACTCCTGCAATGTGTTCTGAAATATAAAGTACTATTAGCACTAACAGTGGTTGTAGCTTCAGATGTACCGAATATATTTGTGGATTAAGCACATAGGCTTCGATGAGATGAACAATAATGACCATAGAAACGACTGAAGCCATCTTTTGAATACCGTATTCACTAATTGCAACTACGATCATAGGAAAGGTTGATATAAAAACTCCTACTACTGGAATAAAAGAACAAATGAGTACAATAAAGGAAAGGAAGCCTATGCCAGGTATTCTAAGAAACATCAATCCCAACGAAGTCAACGTTGTATTAGATAAAGCAATAATCAGTTGTGCTTCAAATGACTTTCCAAATATAACTCCAAACTCACCAATATGTGGCGCAACTTCCATGAAAGCAGGGCCTATCTTGGAACGCTTCAATGATCCAACTCCACGAGCTATCTTTGGAAGGTCCCAAACTATAAGAAATGAAAAGACCAATGAAACCAAAGCTTTAAATAGTATTTTAGTACTTTCTCGAAGTATCTTTGTGGTCAATGACACAGCTGCAGCAACATGATGCTTCACTGATTTTTGTAATAGAATACCAAGTCTTCTCGACCTTTCTTCTGTCCAAGCATCCGTACTAGAAACTGATAGCTTTTTCTCTACCAAGGCCTTGTCATTAAGAATGGCTCCAGCTTTCTTATAGCCAGAGACTGCCTTCTTATCTCGTTTGCTCTCCGTAGTTGCCTCTTCTTCTGAAGAGTATAAAGGCTTTTCAAGTTCATTGGAAAATAACTCAGAAGGACCTATTAATAGTGACTCCAATTTACTACTGAGATCATCTCCAACTGATTTTCGAATGCTATCTGCAATAAACACATAAGGATTCGCAGACTCGATAGTTCTAATGAAATATTGTCCTTCCTTTATCACTCGAGGAACTGTCAATAAACTAAAACTGCTTATAACTGATATTATCATTGCATAGAAAAATAGAACAGCCCATCTTCTTGGAAATCGTTGCTTTGAAATCTTCTGAGACCAGGAAACAAAGCTGTTTGCGACGTAACTCAATACAAAAGTTCCAAACAATACTCCAAAGAAAGGACGAAGGTACCATAATGAGGTTGTTGCACCCAACCAGATTAGAAGTCTCTTAGGTCTAAGATTCATAAAGAAGGACGACGCTGTTTCATCCATTACTCCTGTTATCTGTTTTCCTTCGACGTTGGAACGGTTATGGTCTTGTATAGAATATGGCTTCTTCACTGTTATCTCATCCGTGGCTCTTACAAAGTTGACTGCTGAAACTTTGAATGATATTCTTTTAGTTTGTCTCAATAATTCTTTTCTCAAAAGGTAAGGCCTAGTATGACCATTCCAAGACTTTGCCCAACTAGGCCATATATAACAAAAGCATAAAAGCATTGCCTAACTTGCAAATTCAAAACAGCTTTCCATACAAACATAAAAAATTAAGAGTTGGACAAACGTGGTCTCTTTGAAAAAACCTTTTCCGGAATACACTACATAATGTGTTCTTCAGTTGCACTGGATTACTTATCAAATTGACTCAATACCGTTTTAATAACAACTTAACACTACTTTGATTGTTCCTCCATATCTACTAGCGTTGAAACTCTTTCATCTAAAACAGAAGACCAATTTTCAATATCTCCTAGTTCCTTCAAAGCATTCTCAAGAGGTTTCAAAGTTGCTTGCCATCTTTCCAGTTGAGAAGACAATTCGTTTACAGCCATATGCAAACGCTTCACTTCAGACTCCAGTCTTCCTTCCCATTGATAAACCTTGAAAAAGTAACGAAACCCACAGTCATATAGTTGGTCAAACTACTTGCCTGAAAAACTTCAGCATTGATACTGTCGAATATTTTGTTGGATAACTTTTGTCCAGTTTCTTCAGTCTGTTCCTGAACTTGTTCTACAAGGCGTTGAGGAGAACTTTATAGAAAATACAAACTTACTCAGCTCTTCTGAAATCTTTTTCTTCAGTTCCTTATTCGAACGAAACGACTGAGAAAACATACAAGCAGACAAATATTTTGTTTTGAAGAATTCCTTATTTTAATCAAGAACAACTAGTTTCAAAGAACAAGATAGTTCAACAATTCATTTAAAGTCTTGAGAAAAAAAGAGAGACAACTCGAAATGAGAATATGCAACAAACTTTATTATTATTCTTAAAATACTTGAGTAAAATGTGATTAAAGATTATGTTGTAATGCATTCTTCCCATATGTTGGAGAACTTGCAACTACAAGAGTGTATTGGGAGCGGTTCTTTTGGAGAAGTTTACAAAGCGTTGAACTTGAGAACCAAACAACTTTTAGCTGTGAAAGTGATTGACTTGGAAGACGCAGAAGGTGACCTCGAGGTAAGTCTACTTGTTGTGGTCTGGAGTGCGCACCCAATCACTTTCAATAGGAGGTTCGTCGAGAAACTAGAATTCTTGCACAATTGAGAAACCCATATATTGTGACTTATTACTCTTCATTGGTGTTTGAAACTACTTTATGGATCATAATGGAATACTTAGAGGGGGGCTCGTTGAGAGACCTTTTGGACTGTAGACGACAACCTTTCAAGGAATCCATAATCGCTCGTTTTATTCAAAACATTCTTCAAGGTCTAAAATATTTGCATATGGAAAAGAGAATTCACCGAGACATCAAAGCGGCTAATGTTTTGCTTTCCAAGAGTGGAGTTGCCAAATTGGTTGATTTTGGGGTTTCACAACAGTTGAGTAAGACGATGCAGAGACGCAATACATTTGTTGGTACTCCGTACTGGATGGCGCCTGAAGTAATAGCCGCGTCCTATTATGATGAGAAGGTATTTGCAGTTCTTTATTGCTTCTTTATACAAAACTGTTTTCAACCTGTCAAAGGCAGATATATGGTCATTAGGAATCACTATTTTGGAGTTGGCTTGTGGAAAACCGCCTTGGTTTCAAGTACATCCTATGAAAGCGCTTTTTCTGATATCAGAAGAAGACCCTCCAATCCTCAAAGGGAATTTCTCTTCGGTAGGAATATCAAGGTTTTTAGAGTTATTCTCATATTTTGGTTGCTAAGGATTTGAAAGATTTTGTGAGCCATTGCTTACACAAGGAACCTGAAGAGCGCTGGGATGCTATACGCTTATTAAAGCATCCTTTTTTGAAGGCAGCCGCAGACTATAATGAAATTTCAGAGTTATTACAAGGTATAAAGAAACCTGGTAAACCAGTGAGGAAGTCAGTTCGTTCGGGAAAGAGTTTTTTGAAAGAGAAAGTGATGATGAAGAAAATAGAAACTTTCCATTGGACCTTTGGTAGAGTATTGAAAGTTCAAAAGAATGACAACCTCGTTTCTTGTACTGTTCGTCTTTCGACAGGAAGCCAGAGAGAATTTCAATTGTACTCCAAAGAGAAAGAAGAGAGCAGCAGTGTTCTTAAAAATCAAGAAGGTTCTTTGTGCAAGATTATTAGAAATGGTATGGCTTTGGATAGTTTGCAGTTTGATAATGGTACTGTTTTAAGAATAGTATCATCCAAGCTGGATACTCCTCCTAATAACACTGTCATACGTTATCGATCTGCGGACACGAGTGGAACAGAAACTGTCATTAGAAAGTCTCCTACTAATTCAGCAACCAATAGCAACGCAACGGAGCGAAGGAATCCACAAAAGTCCCCAAGAAAGAACCTGCTTTCTCTCTTTGGACATCAGCGGTCTTTGAGTGATCCTGTGACAAGTACAGGAACAGTCATTACTTCAACCAAAGACTCTCAAGTGGATAGAAATCCTTCAGAATCTCCTCATTCAGAGGATTTCAAGTATTTGACTAGACATCCTTTTCTTCCTTCTTGGAGTGTTGAAAAAGAAGAGCTGTCGAACAAGGCCCAAGAACATGAATATACAAAGACAGTTGTGGATTTGCCTCAAGAATCTTCTACAGTAAAGAAGAACAGCAATTTAGGAATATCGAAGAATTCGCGACAGTGCGATACGGATGATACGATTACATTGACGAGTGAAACCAACCATAATTGGGAGGAACAGACTACTTTATCTACGATGAAAAAGGCCACGATTGAGAACAATCATACAAAGGACATAGTTATATATCGACAGAATAACGATACTGATACAGTAGTCTATCGAAAGGACTCTATTCAACCTTTTAAGCAAGGACATGTGAAAGTTTTCTCCTCTGAGAACTTTTCCTGTTTTGATGATACGATGAGTATGGATCGTATGTGGGTAAGAAAGGGATTCAGTGACCCTTATATAGAATTTGCAAGTCGTGACTATTCACAAACAGTTTCGGAAACTGTACTTCCAAAGAGAGTCAAGTCTTTGGTTGTTGATGATGATGATGGCGATGAATCATCCTATGCAATAGAGTCGAAGGCAGATCCCCCCGTTACTGCAGTTGAAACGATGCAACAAGACGTTGGAGACTTGGAGGACCCCACAAGAGAAAATCCTTCTAATGGTGAACATAGTCAACCTAATAGTACATTATTTTCATTGTCATCCACCTTGCAAGATGCTCATCCCATTCTTGTAAAAATTATTGTACCAGCCATTCGTCAATTGGAAGCAGATGCATCAACTTTAGATGACAACGATATGCAAGAAATCAAGCTTTTATCTGATTTGGCTTCTACTATGTTTCAGTTGGATGAAATACGACCAGGTGTTTTGTTTATATTGTTTCGTCAGATCTTCAAAGAATTTGCTTCATGTGAGGACGAAGGTCTACGGAGTTTGTTTTATTCATTCTTAGAAAGAAAGCATTTCCCTATGTAGTCTTATGTTGTGTACAGATGAATGTATAAAACTGAGCCAATTGGATACACGAAATAAATAATATTATATATGAATGTAAATTGGGCGCTTGCAAGTATAATAGGTCGATAAAACGTTTATTATTCTAACCAAAGCTTCCCTATTTTGACTCACAAAAGATAGTTTTCACAAGAACGAGGCCTAAGCTAGTTGAAACCAACTCTAGGAGAAAGCCCGACTTGACGTCAAAGTGAACAGCTCAAGGCATTATCAACCTGAAGAAACAGATACGGAACTTAACGGTCCTGAGGAAGAGACACGTTTATGCGGACTAGAGCAATGGTGGGGGGCTCGAAGACATGGACACTCCTATGGAAAAAAATTGCTGTGCTGTGGAAATTGATTTTGGGTTGCCGAGTCGTTTCGGGTGGGTTTGTGACATGAAAGTTGTTCAGTTTCTAGAGTGTCTAGGCCACGGAGTTTGAGACTGGTTGTTTGTATTATCCTATATTGTATTTGTAATATGGGTGTGGAAAAGTTTCAGAAAAAGGTGGAGCATATTACCTATTTGCTGTTGGTACAACTTACCAGATACTATTATTTTTCCTACGACTTGTTTCTCTTAATATCACCCAAAGAAAAAGAGTTGGAACTCGAATCGATCTCTCCTTATCAACCCAACAGAGTTGATATGCTGTACAAGTCGCCAAGAAGACTATTGCTTCGATTGGTCTTATGGTTTCTATTGTTGTCTCTCTTCTCTTTTTTGCTAGTTTTGGGTTTAAAACTAAACTTTCCAACGCCAGCAACTACAGTATTAACTTCTTCCACAACTACAGAACAATCCTTTGAGAAACTCTGTGCTACACTGAACGATTCTCGGCTGGTTTCAGAGATCAAAGACCTTCGCATTTTGGTTGCAGCCAACTTT